GAAGTTGTGCTATGTTGAGCTCAGTGGAAAATTGTATCACTTAATCACTTAATATGACATGAAAGTTAACGTTGATGAGAAAGTTAACAGTGAAGAAAAAATTAGACATGAAAAATGCAAACATTTTACTGCCCAGAATATTTTGAGAACCGGAAAACTGACCCTGAATACTTCCTCAGACGTTCCTGATAATTTACATACAACAATGTGTGTCAAAAAATAACTGAAATGTGGACTGAATGAAAAGACATTATCAAACAACACTTCTGGTGTCAACTCAAAAAAACAATCTTCTTGTATTTTTCTCCTCAGTTTCATTCCCATCTAACGATAGTAGTACTGAAAAACTTTTTGAGAGGTGACTCACATCAACACAACTCAATTGTTAGCATGTGTACTGCAACTAGTTTTTTATATACTGTAAACGAAAGAAAAAGCATAAAAATGAACTATTTTGTTCAAATAATAATAATGATGGTATTTATTGGGTGAAATAGGATATAACAACTAACAAGCGAAGTTCAAAACTGCAGTGTAGAACACTACACAACCACTTAACCTCCACAGCCAGCTACGGGAACTGACAACAAAATATTAAAAAAATACATTATAAACTTGATATCGACCAGCATTCGAATAACAGCAAAAAAGAAATATACATATGGATAAATGAGTAGTCAAGTTTGTTTACCTAGTTGTTAAATTTTATTTTAAAATTTTGACTGAAAATACCACTTTTAAAATGTTATGAATGGGGAAGAAGTTTATTGTAAACGTTGCATATCTGATACGTAAATGATCACTTGAAAAATTCGTGAGTGTGTATCGGAAGAGTTAATAACCCTTTGTGCCGTACACTCAAGTTGTGTAAGTCGGTCCGAAATGTAATTTCATTATATAGATAAGTCGGAATTTTATTACAGATAACCTTATGATAGATATACGCAGAGTGTAGCGACCTTCGGTTTTTCATATTGAGCCAACAAGTTCTTGTCAGCTTTGATAGGATTCTGTTCCTTCTACGTATCCCATTTTTTGCAGTTTTCTCTTGTTCTTAATTGTGAGGCTTGGTCCATAGAGTACATCTGCATAGTTTAAAGAGGAAAGAACGAGATTGTCACATAGAGAAATTCTTGTGTTTTCTGGGAATTTTTGATTTCCATAAATTATCTTGAGTGAGAGCTGAGCTTTCTATCTTAGTTTATTCACATGGGAATCAAATCGGAGATCACTGACTAGAGTCACCTCAAGATTTTTTGCTTTCTTCACAATTTCCAATCCATTAGAGCCTATAGTATTATTATATTCATTAGGCACATATTTTCAGCAAGGGATGAGAATGTGTCGAGATCATGACTGATCCGCCTATCAGCGTTACCTACCCTGTGTGGTTCAAAATAATGATAGATTTGCGTATCATCGGCATAGATATGTAAACTGCAATACTGAAGGTATTTCACCAATTGACTGATGTATATCGTAAAAAGGAGAGGGCCAAGAATTGATCCCTGAGGAACGCCCGTCTTTAAACTCAGACGTGTGAAATGTACTTCATCAAGAACAACTTCTGGCGTCTGTTGTGTAGATAGTTTCAAAAAGTGAATAATCTGAAAAGTAAATATAATAACAGCTCATGATTGATAAAGTCAAATGGCGTGCTAAAATNTGAATTATCTGATAAGTAAATATAATAACAGCTCATGATTGATAAAGTCAAATGGCGTGCTAAAATCTAGAAGAGCCAGGACGGTACATTGATTTCGGTCACTCGCTTTGAAAATATCATCGGTTACCTTCAGTAGAGCTGTATTACAGCAGTGACCACTCCTAGAACCCTACTGTACTGTTGGTAGTATTTTATTACTATCTAAGTGTGAGAAGAGCTGTTGTTCTATGATTTTTTCTATTATGCCTTCTGTCCCTCCTTTACTATTGATTGTGGAAACACATGAGTCACACAAGATTAACGATGAAACACCATTTCGAAGTAAGTCGTAAAAGTGACTTTTCTTGTTTTTCAAGATGGCAGACAACGTAAAAGGAGGAGGATGGCGAAAACCCTCGATTTAATCAATGATTGCGCTTCTTTTTACCCGTCTGGTGACAGGACTCGTGATGGTATGTCAAAGAACCTGTGTTATACTCACTTATTATGCTGAAATGAAAACAGATGAAGTGGATTCATGTACCTATTACTTTTTCAGATAGCGTGAATGATAGAATATNCGAATACTTTTACCATCAACGCTGGTGTTCCCCAGAGATTCATATTGTGTTCAACCCTCTTTTAATTGTATATCAACGACTTATGGGAAAAAACCAAGAATCCATTATATTGCGTTGCTGACAACAGTACACTTCTCTCGTCATTCCATTTGGATTCCAAGACATCGGCTACGAAGGCATATCTTCACCGGCAGCAGGACGTTGCATATCTTAATGAGGATCTAGAAGTCATTTCGAAAAAACCAGAAATCCAAGAAGATAAATGTCTCAGAACCGGATATAATAATGTAAGGTCAGACAATTCCGCTATCTGCTTCGATAAGTTTGTTGGGGGTTAAAATGGACACAAATATGTCTTGGCACAATCATGTCGATGGAATTGTGAAGGCTGCTTCTCAAAAGCTTGGAACACTGTTCCGAATCAGAAAACTGTACACACCTCAGCAACTTTTGTTGCTTTATAAAGCTCAGATCAGACCTTCTTTAGAATATTGTTCTCATGTATGGAGCTCTGTTCCCAAACATACCCTGAAGTTGCTGAATTCCATCCAGAAAAGAGCCATCCGCCTGATTGGAGACGCGAACATCACCTGCAACTTCGATAGCCTGGAATATTGAAGAAAGGTTGGAGATTTGTTTCTCTTCTATAGATACTTTCACGGGAAGTGTTCAAATGACTTGGCACATTTGATTCCACCAAGAGCGGTACATATCAGAACTACGCGACAAACTGCGGCTGCTCCTCGTTTTGAGGTTCAACTCTGTATACCTCGAACTTCACTGTTCAAGAACTCTTTCATCTGGAGGACTGCGTTTATGTGAAATAAACTTCCTGAGAACTTTTTCCAAATGGATCTAATGTCCAGCGATTCGAATCCAATGTGAATCGCTACTTTCGCACAGGCACCGCTCTGAGAGCGTCTTGAGGATTTTCCTGTAGTTCTTGTGTTTTGTCCTTGAAAAAAATCCAAACCAATTTAATGTAACGTCGCCGGCTATTGCGTGCCGCCGCACAGTGGAAAATATGACCGACTTAGGTGAAAAAAATTGTAAAACGAAAAAATAATACAAAAAATTTAATTATCGGCTCGAAGTGGCGTAAACCTGTTAATAGATGTATTTTAAATCATTTGGGAAACTCTTCTTCCAGAGCGTCCTGAGCGTTGAAAAGTAGGTTGGATAACTGAAATACTAAATTATGGGTCATCTGAATCAAACCAACTACAGTATTTATTGGAAAAACCAGATTTTTTTTCGAAATTTTGTCAGAAAGACGGGAAATTTCAAAGGCCCAATATCCACATCTTCTTGATTATTAATTTGAGCGGAAGTAAGAATACATTTCAGCAAGTGGTCTTGGCGGTTACCTTTGGAAAACTTAAACCGCTCTTCAAAAAATGTCTTCCTCGTGATTCAGAGTTTTGTGTTTAAAAAACGTCAAAAATTGCAAAAATCTTTGCAAGTCATGAAGAACATTTCGGAGACCACAAATTGGCGAATTTTGCATCATGACTTGGGCCAGCACTTGTACAAAATTCAACTGACCCAGGAACTGAAGGTAATTGGTGATTTTGGACTGGCGGCGTCATTGGTCCATATTTCTTTGAGAATGACTTTGGCCAGGCCATCGCTATCAACAGCGAGCACTATAGGTCATTGATTACCATCTTATATGATATTGATATTCTTTACGAATAACTTGAGGGCATGTCATCTCACGTGGAGGTGATGGGAACTTCCCGCTGAGATTGTGCGATTTCACTCCGTTAGACTTCTTTTTGTGGGGTTTTCTTGAGTCGCAGGTGTATGCGAATGAGCCACAAACCACAGCGGTCCTCAAAGCCAATATAACCCGTGCCATCGGTCAAATTTTAGCATGATTTATGTGCCAGAGTCATAGAAAATTGGACATTCCAGATGCCCTCCCCCTAGAGAAGCCGTGGCGGACATTTGAACGGACATCGCACACTTTGTTTTATTTAAATTCAAAGCTAGAAAGCGCCTAATGAATGACCCCATTCAACGAAGATTTTAGCTACACCATGAATAATTTGCGAAATAAATCACTAAAGGCAAGCCAATCATGGGCAACCAAAACTCAGTTCAGACGAATATCAGCTGTGAAAATTGGTAAAGATTGTTAGAATGTTTGCGTCATGAAAATATAGAACGCAATAATCCTCGGGGTATTGGAAGGAATAGAAAAGTCAGAAGTCTATCAATCAGTAAAAAAATTGATTACAGTAAGTAAAAATCCATTTTTCCATTGATATTCACAACACATGAAAAGGATATAATAAAGTGTATTCCTGTTTATGAGTAAATAAACATATAATAATAGGGGATAAGGTAATATTATAGAAAATTAGATTCCTATCTGCTTCCTATATAGAGATATGGAACACCGCGCCACTGTTGCAGGACCCTGTATAACTTTTTTTTCTTCTTATCATCTAAACTTTTCAACATAATATGTCTCATTGACGCTGGAGTAAATCCCCATTTTGCATCATGGGCTCCCCTGCAATAATGGAATTTGCTTCACTATCCCGTAACTTGCACAAGTTTCTTGAAAACTGGATGAGCAGCTGGTTAACGATTTATAAATATAGTATCAAACCTGATTGGTTTATCCCTCTCATTGAGTATTATTCCCATTGAATGACTAACTTTTTGTATTCAATCTCTCAGCTTACTTTCAATTAACCACTACATTTAAAGGACTTGATGGGCGACTGTTCAACTCACTTGAAACATCAATCTTCACGAACCTTTTCAATAATATTTCAATATGATTTCGTTCAAATACATTACCGTATTTTGCATGAGCTCCGCAATGTGAGTAGTTTTGTTGCCTGGTGAAGCGCACATGTCTATAACTATTTCATTCGGTTTTGGATTGAGTGCAAGCACACATAACACAGACGGTAAATTTTGGAGTAGCGCCCAACCCGAAGGGATAAAATCGTCTTTCAAAGGAGGGCATCCGGATATCGTCTCTGTTACCTGAACAGCTATGCCACTGAAAATATGGATTATTTTCATAAAATTCTAAAAATATGAAAAGTGTTGAAATATATTCAAATATTTATACACTTAGTAAGTAATGAAAAAAGTTGTAAGTACCAAATAAGTTAACAGTATGACCGTATCATATGAATTTTTATTGATGGCTTCATTCGAAATTTAAACCAACTTCTGCGTCGATTAGGATGAAACTTTACCAAAATTATAGTAGTCAGATGGGTCGCATTAAATGGCAAATGTCAAGTTTTTATAAATAAGTTCCTTATCGAAGGTTATGGGCGGTAAGAAGCTACACTGAGTTCTCAATCTGTCATCTCCTTAGGTAATGACACATTTTAGGGTTTTGTGACCCGACCTGCCTATTCCTTGGGTCTCGTTATTGGTCTTAGCCAGAGTCTTAGCCAGGGTCTCAGCCTACCCAAACGAAGACTGATGGTCCACAGGCTCTCATTCAATTCAGTGTAGAAACTTCATTAATTAATTATGTACATTATAACAGATGGTAAGTCAGGTGGTACCTGGGGGCCCTGCTATAGGCTTATGCCTTTTCAGGGTCAAGATTACTTCACAATTGGCGTCTTGGGTTTTGGCTTCTCAATGTTTTCCTTAATCTATGTTGGCCTTAATCTATGTTGGTACTTCTCGATGTGATAGTGGTTAGTTTTTCCAAGTTTCTAAAAAATGGCAATGCTCTCAATTCTGTGTTAGTAGGGTTAGTTGGTTTCTTCTTGGTCCTTGGGCAATGTGATTCTAAGTGTTCATGGTATGGCGTAGTGATTTCCCTTCTTAGTGGTTGAGTAGAGTTGTCTGGGTACCATAGCTAAAGATCGATTTTCGATCAGAGTCATGGTTCAGGCATGGCTTGAGGTACGATTTCAGGTGGGATTTGAACTCTAGAATGGCTCCAGACTGTGGGGCTGTCGACTTCCTGATCGCCAGCTAGAACTCGTCGAGGGTATCCTGGAATCGCTCGGGGATGTCCTCTAGGGCTCCTAAGAGTCTGACTAGGAAAAATGGGGGCTTTTTTCCTCAGAATCCTTCTGATGCTCGCACATGGCTTCCAAAGGGTGACCAGCGTGTCTTATATAATAGACAATGGAAGTCCGAACTAGTGAAATTCATCACGAAACATTGTCAATCACCTTCAAACAAACATTTTAGGGTTTTGTGACCCGACCTGCCTATTCCTTGGGTCTCGTTATTGGTCTTAGCCAGGGTCTCAACCTACCCAAACGAGGACTGATGGTCCACAGGCTCTCATTCAATTCAGTGTAGAAGCTTCATTAATTAATTATGTACATTATAACAGATGGTAAGTCAGGTGGTTCCTGGGGGCCCTGCTATAGGCTTATGCCTCTTCAGGGTCAAGATTACTTCACAATTGGCGTCTTGGGTTTTGGCTTCTCAATGTTTTCCTTAATCTATGTTGGTACTTCTCGATGTGATAGTGGTTAGTTTTTCCAAGTTTCTAAAAAATGGCAATACTCTCAATTCTGTGTTAGTAGGGTTAGTTGGTTTCTTCTTGGTCCTTGGGCAATGTGATTCTGAGTGTTCATGGTATGGCGTAGTGATTTCCCTTCTTAGTGGTTGAGTAGAGTTGTCTGGGTACCATAGCTAAAGGTCGATTTTCGATCAGAGTCATGGTTCAGGCATGGCTTGAGGTACGATTTCAGGTGGGATTTGAACTCTAGAATGGCTCCAGACTGTGGGGCTGTGGACTTCCTGATCGCCAGCTAAAACTCGTCGAGGGTATCCTGGAATCGCTGGGATATCCTCTAGGGCTCCTAAGAGTCTGACTAGGAAAAATGGGGGCTTTTTTCCTCAGAATCCTTCTAATGCTCGCACATGGCTTCCAAAGGGTGACCAGCGTGTCTATGGCTGCCCTGTTGCTGCTGTTCATTGTCCTGTTGACATATCGGCCTCGGAGTTCTTGAAATCTCAGGTTAATGGGTATGAGTTTCACGATATCGTAAAGTTCATTGAAGGAGAAATGGTAGAGGAGGTTGTAGATGTTTTGTAGGATTCTCCACTGTTAATATAAAGTGAGTTAGTTTCGGAGTAGATCATGGCTTCATAGTTCAGGGTCGATGTCATGAACATTTCATATCTGTGTAGTAGAGTCTTACTGATGCATTTCCGAGCTTGCCTCTGAGTGCTTGTAGGATATTGTTTTTTTTCCGGACTCTGTCCAGGGGTTCACGTAGGTAGCTTCCTAGTTGAGAGACCTCGTGAGGCCTCCGGCTCTCATTTCGTATTCAACGATGTTTATTATGTGGCCTGTTTCAAGATGGTGCTTGAAAAGAGATGATTCAGGGACAACTAGCTTATGTTTATAAATTATTTCGTAAACTGTTTGGNGTCCAGTTCCTATTTGGGTGTCGTGTCCTTGGATGTTTGTAAAAATGTGTAGATTTTAAGGCAGAAAAGCTTTTGGATGGTCAATCTGGTCGTCAACCAGTTTGTAGTGTGAGAAAAGGGTATGCTAAAGTTAGATGAACCTTCGGATTTGGGAGTCAGGACAGTTGTTCAAGACATAGTTCTTCATGGATGGAATCACATACTCAAGTGTTATCCCGATGTACACCCGTTTCGTATTTCACATTATGACGACATTTTGGAAAGATCTCACCATATTCATGTGCTCTGCTTAGTAGCTGAACTTGAAACTCACTCGATGAGAAGAAAATGTCTTTCGAGGAATATTATCTCAAGGAAAAAATTTGAAAACTGTCAGTCAACTGACAAACTGGTTACATGTCGTTCAAATGAATAAATGTAAGTCAAAAAAAATATCCCATTTTCTAATGAAGTGTGAAATTCGTTACTTGTCTCCTAATGAAACTTTCATAAATTTGTGTTGACATGTCCCAGCTCCCGTTAACATGCATTAGCAAACATCAAACAAAGCACTGCATTCAGCTCTAATCATTTATTTTCGTAAGGATTTATTATGACGATATTCATTAATCCTTAACCCAACCATTATTAACCACCATAGGAAAAATGGTGAATCTGAAATGATAATTTTCACACTGGAAATCCTGAAATATATATATTTTTATTGTGATATAATAACAAATTATAATTATGAGTCTAATAATACAGGCCGTTTTTTAGCCACGAAAACGGTAAGACCCACAAGGTCGGTTGAATTGAACAAAAGTTTTATATTTTGGTGAACTATACTAATTTCTTTTCAGATCGGAAATATCATTAGTTGTTTTTACAATATTTGCCAAAAACTAGAATTGTCGAATTTCGTGTTTGTACTCTACCGCCCTCATTTCGAATGATATAAAAAAAGGGAGAGCGACTTTCAATACTGTTTCATATTTGTTATAAAATGATATGAAACTCTAGATTTTTTCATCGATTTTTGTAGCCACTGTAATAACACATTTAGTTATGTAGGTATTACAATACAGATGTTTTCCAACGTTTGCAAATATACATCATCAATATTTGTGTAGTCTCAAAAAGGTAAAAACCAATATTTCAGAACTCAAAGTAATATCAACTCCACACATATTTTGAAACTTTGCAAGTAGAGGTGAAGGCCCATGCATTTCAGGGCTTTTGAATAAATATGGAAAAACTATTCAGGAGCCACATGTGACCCATTGTACTTCCTTCCGAGGAGTTGTCCTTATAAAATTTTATGGTGTGATGAGAGAATATTCACGAGTATCGGATGGTTTAACCGAAATATTCATTTTCACTGGAAACAAGAAAATTATTTTCTACATAAAGCTACAAATTTCCACAAGAGACTTGGGCTTAATGAAATGAAGTTGGACCTCATAAAGTCAGAAAAATCCACCATTTACGTTTAATGGACTATTATAGGAGAAAAAAAAATGTAGATAGCTTCTCAAACAACACCGTCTGGATAATGAAATCTGTAATAAAATGTTATGGTGTGATGAGAGAATATTCACGAGTATCGGATGGTTTGACAGAAATATTCATTTTCACTGGAGACAAGAAACTTATTTTCTACATAAAGCTAATTTCCACAAGAGACTTGGGCTTAATGAAATGAATTTGGACCTCATAAAGTCAGAAAAATCCACCATTTACGTTTAATGGACTATCATAGGAGGAAAAAAATGTAGATAGCTACTCAGACAACACCACCGTCTGGATACTGAAATCTGTAATACAATTTTATGGTGTGATGAGAGAACATTCACGAGTATCGGATGGTTTAACCGAAATATTCATTTTCACTGGAGACAAGAAAATTATTTTCCATATAAAGCTACAAATTTCCACAAGAGACTTGGGCTTAATGTTTGGTTTGGTGTGCTATACACCAAGATTATAGGTAGGGAGATTGTTTTTTAATATTCTGAGAAAACTATTTGCAGAGATTTCCTTAGTGCGACAATGCCAGAAAGATGGATAGGAAACAATGATCCTATCAAATAGTCACAACGTCCACCTGACCCTTCTGGACCATAAAGACAAGGTAATTCAGCTTAACTTTTGGCAATATTGAAGAATTGAAAGAAACAATCAAGAGAGCTTGCATGGCGATAACGCTACAAATGATGGAAAATTGACATAAAAATACTAGTGCAAGAGCGAATACGTGTTTGAGGGATTATGGTTGAGAGTATTTTGACATTATGTTTGTTGCTTGGTTTATTACATGTTTTTCCGATATGTAGAGTTCATGTATATCTTTGAGTTCTAGACCCAAAACATATTGGTCCCTACTTTTTTGAGGTAGCTCTGACCAGGAATTGTATGACCATATAGTGGTGATGAGAAACACGTGTATTGTAACACATAGCTTGAATTGCTATTACAGTGGCTACAAAAATAGATGAAACAGGTCCGTAATTAGGTAAAAAATAAAGTTGATGATGAAATCTATTGAAAGAAACGTCGCATTGCAAATTGGTTTATTATAAGATTATAAAAAATATTAACGAAAGTTCATCTGCCTTTTTCATATCATTCGGCCTGTATATCGTCACTCGAGAAAGTACTGTATAGGATTATATACCTAGTTTTAGTTTCAACCCAATTACTTCGGGTTGAGGTATCAAACCAAGCGAGAAATAAGCTTTTTGACTTTCTATTTGTCTTTATACAAAAAGATAGAATTCTTCCAAAGAAGGAAAGAAATCAATTAAGTTTTAAATAAATCACAAAGAAGTAATGTAGATCATTCACATGAATTGAAGGAAAAATTACTTTTGAAACAACTACTTTCACATGAACATTGAATTATACGAGAAAAAAATCTGGTCGAGACTACATTCATATGAGCATTGCATTACCCGAGAATCTCTTTTCTCCATTTATTTTGTACTCTAAACATTCGTTATGGAATTGAAACAGATATCTTTCACATGAAGAATATTTTGAACTAGATTGCTTCTTTTCTTCGGAAATTACCCAAATTTTTCTTTTCTTATGAAATTTGTGGAGTAGAAGGCGAAATGATTTTTTCCCCAAAACAGAAGTATAAGCATATCGTCTACATTTCAATTACAAATCACTCTGCATCCAAACCTTCCTGAATTTTTCGTCCTAAATGCCTATAACTTTATTGATACACTTTTAATTATGACGAGAAATTTGAATTTATCCTGAAGATTTTTCGAAATACTACAGTTCTCAATAATTAAAATGACTCGAACCCTGATATTTGTCCCTTTTTAATAAATATAGCTTTCAAAGAAAAACTTACGTTGGTATAACATTTTCTCCGAACAATTGATGCCTCCGCATCTTCACAATTCCATTTCCGATGAAAATCTTTTGTTCCTCAAACTTTTTCTGAAGTCCTTTTTTGCATTTTTTCAATGTGTCGGCATATATACTGACCTTATCATTCAATTGTGAACCTACAATGATAATAATTTATAATATTTCAAAATTAAATCACTATATACAACTTTGAAATGAGAAAATGTTCTGTCGCAGAAATTTGAAACTGAAAGTTAATTTTTCACATACATTTTTTTGTAATGATGCAAAGTTGAAAAATCAACCATAGTTTCATCTAACATTCTAGTTTCGAGTATATGAGTATGAATTACACAGTGAAAGAGAAGCATTTTGGTTTAGTTTAAAGAAAACGAACTAATGGAAATATGTATATACAGTGCGGTCCATATGTATGGAATAAATTCATTTTTAGCGTTATTATGTACTATGTGAAAAAAACCTGAAACAGGTCGATTTTTATTCTTAGAGTGACAATTTACAGTATGCAAATATTATCCCCCTCCAGCACCCCTTCTGAATTATATGCGCCCCCTCGAAAATTTTAAATAGTAAAAGGGGGTCGTGTGGCACGTTGTTGGAAAGGGATTTTAGTCCTCTGTTCAGCTATATAAAGTTTTTTGCAGTTTGGTGCAATCATAACTGAAAAAATTGATNGAGAATATTTTATTTCAAGTCTCATACAATAAAACAAAACGAATAATAAATCCTCCACCGCTTTTTCTTTCTTTGATAATATAAACCTAACTCTAGAAATATATAATTCATCTCACACTATGCAATTCACAATCAAGAGAGTTGTATAGTAAGTTGCCTATATTTTTGAGTGTATGGTGTTCCTGTAATTTGTTCATTCATATTCATGCGGTTATTCAACTATTCAACGTTACTCTTGTGTTCACATTAACGACCTTATATTCAAATATTCTACAGGGTATGTACAAGATGTTCCAGGTAGCTTCAGGCTGGGGTCATCCAATTGAATAATAGACGAGAATAACCTGAGCATACATTTTGAATTTTTGTTATGATTCATTCCAATGCAGAAGAAAACGCATTTAGATAACACATGGGCGGAAAAGTCCCGGGCCTAAGAAAGAAAACGCGTTTTGTTTGTTCAAAATTGGCTTTATTCATCAACGTAATGTCTATCAAGAGCCACACAATCATTCCAGCTCCGCTTTAACATTTCAATACCACTTTTGTAGAACGATTCATCTTTGGCCTCAAAATAGGCCACAGTTTCAGCAATAACCTCTTCATTTGAGCGAAATTTCTTACCGTTGAGCATTTTTTTAGGTCGACGAACAGCCATGGCAGTAGTCGCTGGGAGCCAAATCTGGCGAACACGGTGGATGAGGGAGCAATTCAAAGTTCAATTCATGTAGTTTTGCCATTGTTTTGATTGACTTGTGACACGGTGCGTTGTCTTCATGAAACAAAATGTTTTTCTTTGCCGTATGCGGTCGTTTCTTTGCAATTTCGGCTTATAAACGCTCCAATAACGCTATATAATATTCACTGTTCATGGTATTTCCCTTCTCAAGAGAGTCGATGAATATTACACCACGCACATCCACAAATACCGAGGTTATAACCTTTCCAGCCGATCGTTGTGCTTTCGGGCGCTTTGGACGAGGTTCACCAGATGATCTCCACTCAGATGACGATCGTTTTGATTAAGGAGTGAACTGATAGATATCAAGGAAATTATTTTGTAATATTACAAACTTTCTCTCGTTCATTGGTGGTGATTCAGGATACATTTGAATGAATTTTCTGCAAGTTCTGACAATGATTTGATCACTTTCTCCATGTGTAGTAAATAAATTCACAAGAACTTCGTTTGAATAGTCGATATTTGCATTAATTTCGAAAGATGTTTTGAAACACCGTCGTCGATAACTATTTGTGAATTACTTATAAAAGTAATCAAACCCTATACCTGCTACCTAAAACCAAATTCTTAACAAAACAATGTTTCCAGAAGAAGTGACTGTATTAGGAAAATTTCATGATTTAGGTATAGGGACATGATATATCATCTTGAAATATTTTTCATCATCTTTCAATTTATCGAGTAATATACAGGGGGTTTCGTTTGAAAAATGAAATGTTGACCACTTTTATGCATAATGGAAATAATAGTAATTTTAGCAAGCCCTGTATGATATGGAGTAGATTTTTGGTGTTGATTAAATATTTCGAGTTTGTCCATACTATCATCAAAATACTAACTTTTCATCAGTTGATAATACTGATATTCTTGAGTACAATTAGAGCTATGTTTTGGACTAAATTTAGCACAATTTTGTTTTATCTCGAAAACCGATAGAGATAGGTATGGGACATTATTAACAAAAAATTATTATAATAAAAGAGCGATTCCAAAAATGTTTAATATACAAGGTTTTCTATTTAAAAACATCGAAGACTTTTTGATGGAAGTAGCAACGCCGCAATGCTGAAAATATTTTAGATCGATAGAACAGGTGAGGAAATGTAAGATGTGAAATTTTCAGAAAAATCCTGAGTTGAGTTTTCAAGAATCGTCCAACTTACTACCGACCATGAGTCACCCTGTATAATCAAGAACAACTGGTAGTTTGAAATATTTGAACTATACTAGATACAAATTTTAGGTCTAACTTTGTACAACAGTGCTTTGTTATCAGTATTTCAAATTTCAAATCTTAGCTCATAACGCAAAAATAATAAAGATTTCACTAGGGAGTAGTGTATTTCACGAGTGCAATAAGTATGAAAAACTATTAAAGGAATATGTAAATATCAGTATTTGTTAAATAAATAAGATTCACCTGAAAAACCAATAAATGAATTGAATAATTCTACCTGACAGCATTCCTATTACTCCTGGTGCATATATGTGAGCCCCTCTTAATACAGCAGAAGCACAATCAGTATCAATGATGACTTCGTTCTCGTGTTTCTCGATGATACTTTCGTTAGGGTCACTATGAATAATAATAATAACGTTTGAAAGTGAAGGATGAATTTCCACTTTGGGTTGTTTGTCCAGTTCCTATTGAAAAAATGCAATTTTCAAATAATTTAAACTTGCTGTATACTTGTGTGACTCACTTTTCTAATAAAAACAAACTATCGCACAGACACGTTGAATCTTTGCAATATGAAATCAACTCATGAAAAACTGAAAATGTAGCACGAATAAAAAGTTGATTTCTAAGCATATATATATCATCCATGTGAATAAATGAATCGATACATGTTTTGTGATATGAAAAGAATAATAACCTCTGTCATGAAATGAATTCAGCATTTAACAACACGCAATTCATAAAAAAAGCTCTGAGAACCGCAACACAAAGTATGTTAGTCGGACTAAACAAGACGCTAAAAGTCATTCTAACATGTAGCTTATATATTCAATTTCATAGACCAGAAAAGCCTAGTGTTGCTCAACATCCTTGGAGTGCGGTGATTGGATAAAAGTTATTGCTTGAAACTGAGACCGATACATGCCACTAAAGTCTTGAACGCTTACGAAAATCATGAAGAAGCAAAGTGTACCTATCATGATCAATGATAAAGGTTCCATTTCAAACACCCTAAAAATCGAAAGGTCGTTTCTTTTATCATGGATTTGAGAGCTCCTATAATTGCAGCATAATTTTTATTGTGAGTAGGTATATTTACTGTACTCTATATCCATCATTGCTTACTGAAAAACTTTTACAATAAAGTGGGAGAATCAGTTCTCACAAAATCAATTATATATTCAATGATTTCTTTCATCCTTGTTCTTGGTACAGATAACTGCAGAAGAACTGGTTTAAATTTCATACTGGAGGTACCAAAAAAATTGTAACAAAATATAATTAAATCAACATCTTATTTATTTTTGATTAGAAAAAATGACACTTATCATACAAATAAAATCTGTCAGATGAAGTCTTCGAAGACACGATTTTATAAAAATCGTTGCTGATTCAATAATCCTCAAAAAAAAGTTTAAAAGAGCATTTTGTTTTGAGTAATAGGATAGAACGCGAGGCGAGAGTACATGAAATGGTGAGAAATTTAATATTGCATTTTTTCCTTTACCCCCAACAAATACTTTAGTGGATCCGCCCCTGTCAATAGAAAGTGAGTCACACAGTATAGTTTGACAGTGTAGTGTATACGTGAATGTATTTACCTCTTCACAATATTTATTGATCAAGTCCAAAACATCTTTAGGTATGCACTTCAAAGTATTCACCCTGTACGAACTGATTTTTGGAAAAGAGCACAACCATTTCAAAATTTTCTGTAACTCTTCATTTGAAATCTGGAAAGATCCCGCTAAGTTCCGATGACCAGTTCTGCCAACATATAAGAAAATAACTTACCGTCATTCCACATTTCTTTTCAGATGAATGAGTAATCAACTCTGATTCGAATATTTCTTGAAAAGGAGATTCTGGATAAGGCATGGTATTATTTGACGAGACACTGTTCACTAAAATGTTATTACGGAACACAAACAAAGCTTTAAAATCATTACACTTTCATGCAATTTTTTAGGTTAGGTTAAGCGTAAAGTTGGTAGAGTTGGTACATGGTCACGTGCCATGCGCTGACCAATGCGACATGCTGGTTCCCAAGACGTGGCACGAACTGCGATTCTCTTCCACGTCCGCCATATTGACATTCGACAATTTTTGGGAGGACAGGTGAATGTGTTAACGTTACTCGAAAGTGTGAAGTGTTTTTGGAAAAAAGAGGTATGTACCAATATACAAATGAAATATTGGCGTCTTAGTATTTTTGTATTAATTCTTGCTTTATCTATAAATCAAAATTTGCTTTGAGAGGACTTGGGGTTCAGTTGTAAAAGTGACAACAAGTCAGAAGTCGGCATTTTAAGTTTTTTAACGATCAGTTGGTGTTGGAAATTGAGGACAGCGTTAGTTTTTTTATCGCATTATAGTTATAAACCTGCTTTAATTCTCTAAAATTCTGAACGGATAATCTTTGAAGTGATAAGTCAAATATTTAATCAATATGTCAACTTTCTGCAGATAATAACCTTATTTTTGCAATTTCTTCTTTGTTCTAAATTTAGATGTCTAATTCACAATAATATGTGAGCAAAAAACATGATCCAGTATTAACATTTGTTTATGTATTCTTTACAGGTTATAAGCAATCACTATGGGGAATGTGTTTGCAAATTTATTCAAAGGCCTTTTTGGCAAAAAAGAGATGAGGATATTGATGGTAGGATTAGATGCTGCTGGTAAAACTACTATTTTATATAAACTTAAACTAGGAGAAATTGTTACAACTATACCTACAATTGGTGAGTATTTTCATTTAATCATTTGAAAATAACCAAAAAGTATATTATCGCATTCCTCCTGCTTCGAATTTTCTCCATTTCAAAGTAATCAAAATGTAATGATATGAGTCATGGTTCAATGGCCTTGAAATGATTCAGTGCAAAATTGATCATAAATGTTATTTCCATTTTCATTACAGGATTCAATGTGGAAACTGTAGAATATAAGAACATCAGCTTTACAGTGTGGGATGTTGGTGGTCAGGATAAAATTAGGCCATTATGGAGACACTATTTCCAAAATACACAGGTAAATAAATGATTATGTTTATATCTACAGCTTCAATACCATTTAACAATGAATTGCGAGCCCATTTCTGTTTTTTCAAACATTCAAATCGATAGCTTTGATTTCCTTGAAATGAGAATTGAAACTATTTGTCATTGTTCAATTTAAACATTTAAGAAAGATTTATATATCTGTAATATTATTTCGAACAGGTCAACACTGTCAACATAAATGTAGACCATAACATATGTCAATTTATGAAATTTCTCTAATAAATGTATCTGAAAAAGTCCATGAACAAATGTCAAAATATTGGTAAAAGTATTCACTTCAACCAGATTATTGACAAGGTACCAAATATGTTGTTAAAGGAAGTAACAAACACTTTATTAAGAAGTGTTAGTATACCAATCCTAGAAATATAACTTTTCTTTGGGATCATCACCAGTTCCTTAGTACTGGTACTCATTTTAATTGAATAAAACAAAATCTTTTTTGACTTTATTTCAGTAAAGGTTTGGTAGAATATAAATGTACCAATAGATACTGTTCAGAATATTGACTGTCAAAAAACTTTAGCTCAAAGCAGCTGCTTCTCTCAAAGGGAAATGGGGAAATAATGTTAGTTAAGACATAAATGTGAACACAAACATTTGAGATGGGTATCTCACAATGAACCTTTTTCCTGAAGTACGAAAAATCACTCACTAGCAGCGCTAGTAGTTAGGTAGGGACAAACACTGCCTAATCCTCATATAAACATATGGTAAAGTACAATTTAAAAACAATGTTTTTAACACAAGAAGATGTTCCTGGAGCAAAACTAAAATTTGCAACTGTAAAGGATAACAATGTTGTAACATTATAACGTTGGCTTGCATGCCGTAATTTAAAAGTAACTGGAAAAAGAAGTGAATTAATAGAGAGGTTAGTATACAGACTCTAGTAAAAGGGGAGCGGTAGATTCAAACTAATAAAAGAAATTTAAAACAATTATGAATTTCAGATTTATTTCCGAGTGAAATATGAATGAAAATAATTTAATAAATGAATATAAATTTAATTGAATATAATGAATATAATTTAATAAANACTTATATTACTTATCCAGACTTTATCTATTGAATGATTCAAGATAAGCAAGTACTAATAACTTTTTTATTTCACTAAAGAATTTTCGTAATAAATGTTTCACATTTTTATGTTGATATTTGTTTTAAGGTTTCACCGATAATTGAAATTAAAATAAACTTGTATATGTGAATGAAAATTAAAAGTACCTTCTCAAAAATCTAATGATTCTCTTCAACCACTTGAACTTTGAGCTTACTAACAATTGTAATACTGGATGTTGCAAAAAGCCAGTATCCACTGATTTTTGTCTAAGTATTTAAGATATTTAGTAGATACAAAACTGGTATGATTTGCCAGAATTTTTTGTCAGACAAAATTTATACCATCATCAGCTTGATTATTATATTGCTCAGTAACATATATTTCAATTAATTCCTAAAGAGCTCTTTCATGCTCTGGTGCAAAAGAGTTGATGTTATTTTCAATTGATGTCTATAAATAGATTGAAATGAACTGATTACATTCAACTTATTCAACAGCTCATTAAACTAGGCGAATGAATTNCGATGGCGGTAATCAATTAATTGAAAGGCAAGTTAATGCCAATGTTTATATCATTATCATTCTTTGGAAAAAGTTTAAAGAATAAAGTGTTGGGAAAAAACAAAATAATACTCACTAATGAAATATATTTAACATGTACTATAAATGTACCGTGAGGTTATATAATATTAGAGTATTTGTTATTCCAGCAGTTTCATTTTATCCAACTGAAATTTTTTCAAATGCAAACTCAGATAAAGACATGTTTCTTTTAAATGGTGTCTTCATTAATATTTTCAGATAAAACATTTCTGTTGTGGCACAACTTTTGGGGGCAGAATCGCAGAAGTTATTTCACATTTCTGACCGTTCATGTCAATAATAATATTCAAGTTACACTTTGAGATTTTCTCTGAACAGTGAAAATGTCACTATGAAGTGTTACTATGTTATGTTATATGTTATGCATTTTCATCAAGTATTAGCCAATTACATCATATATTCATTCATTGAAGAAAATTTGTTGATAGCTATATCCTCCTGCATTTAAATAAAAATAGTTCTGGGACACCCTGTATGAAAAGGTGGTTTTTATTTATATTTGTATCTCATCATAATTCTCTCCTCGTCACTCATTTTTTCATGCCCAGTCTTGAGGAGTTAAATCGAAATTAGATTGTTTGTTATAGGGTCTAATATTCGTAGTTGACAGCAATGATAGGGAGCGTATCACAGAAGCCAAAGACGAACTGATGCGCATGTTGGCTGAAGACGAACTACGAGACGCTGTACTTCTCATCTTCGCCAACAAACAGGATTTGCCAAATGCCATGAATGCAGCTGAAATAACAGACAAGCTGGGACTTCATTCACTACGTAACCGCAACTGGTACATCCAAGCAACATGCGCGACGAGCGGGGATGGTTTATATGAAGGTCTGGATTGGTTGTCTAATCAACTGAAGAACGCCAACCGTTAAGTGCAAGTGAATCGCAGTTGAAGAACTGTGTCTGTTCATGTACTGTCGTGTTGATGATACCATATGTTGCAATTAAGGGTTTTTCTGTGTTGTATTGGCCTTGAGGTCATATTCTAGATTTGTTCTGGTTATTTTCGAATTGTTAAGAGTCATAACCACAAAACCGCCACAAGTTTATAATTAAATGGAAATCATGAATAGTTTAACTGCTGTTACCTGAAAGCTTAATAGTAATATTGAATTTCTATGAAGTGATGACATACATTCGAAAATGATGAGGGGAAAACTACTCCACGAAATACCCTTAAGAATGTATACCCTAAAATGGTATGCTCAGCGTTTAAATCTCATTCTATATATATATGTCACTTTTATTTATTTCTTTCAGGTGAAAAACTGGATTATTTTGTAACATAACTGTTTTTGTAATAGGTTTAAATGTACAGTAGACGTTTGTATTTAAATAAATATTTTTTGGATAAAAATTACTGTGAAAGGTATCGTTGTAACATATGGTAAGGCTGTTCGTATTTAAAATAAAAAAGAACATGTTTTTAAATATCTTGGGCCTGGCTCAAAGTATTTTATTATTTCAATTAGGGTACATACAATGGGGCTCACCCGCAATGGACGAAAAAATTATTTGAATTTGACCTTGTGCTGGGACTATTCTAACGAGCTCTTGTATGGTCAGTTTAACAATAATTCGAGAGGAAATGCGATGTTTTATTATTCATTTTAACCCTACTTACTTCTAGGATGAAGGGTAAGTCTAGTTGCTTGATTGGAAAGACTCGAGTCCCGCAGCTTTCCACATCCAAAACTTGAATGAGATTAAATATTTGAAAAATAAATCAATTCATTATCTGTCCATTCTGTGTGTGTTGCAGTGTATATATTCGTTCCTTCTCAATTTGTAATTTCTACTTGCGATCAGTTATAAAAATCTTGAGGCGTAATTTTATTTGACAAACAGTGGAGTAAGGATACATTTGAAGGCCCATGCATTTCAGGGCTTTTGAATAAATATGGAAAAACTATTCAGGAGCCACATGTGACCCATTGTACTTCCTTCCGAGGAGTTGTCCTTCTAGGTCATCGTCCATCCTGTCCTTTCCAGGAAGGTGGACAGATGGACAGACTAGTACTCCAGACACTCGCAAAAGACATGCCTGACAATGTCCACTAGTCCTTTTAATATGCAGGTGTTTCCTTAGTTGACAGTGGCCAGTCAGAAATCTTACTGCTGAACGTAGGTTTTTCCTGGTCATCGCCAGATATTTTTTCGGTGCCAGCTTTCCAGGGTCGCCCAGGGTGATCCTGGCAAGATTGCATCCTTTGATTCCATCCCATCTCTTTAGGGATTGAGCATGG